GGCGTAGCATTGTAGACTGAATAGTCTAGTCTAAAAAATTCAACACTATAGTTATATATTAATTAATGAAAATTTTAATTCAGTTTTATCTATATTAAAGTTTAACTTCAGCATTAATATATTTTTAAATTGATTTTCATTAAAGATCATTACAAGAAAGTGAATATACTTTGAATATTGGTAATGTGAACATTTGTGGGTGACAATGTCAAATTTACACGTGTAGTTGTGTATGTTAGAGCACCCACAAGGCCACAATGCTTTGGGTCTCTTAGAAAAAAATCACATGTCATGTAACAAATATACCTAGTTTATAAAAAAGTGTTTCACAATGCAATTAAAAGTGAACCTAGTCTAGCTTATGTGGCAATAAAAAAAGAGATCAAGTCCGACACTTGGGTCTATTTTGGACCCAAGTACAAACCCAAACATTCATCATTTATTCCTAATTTGATTTTTCTTTTAATAAAGGAAACATATTAGAGCATTTTTATTGGTTGACATGTATGCTAGACCTAGTATTTTATTTTTTTGCATTGAATAGCTTCTGAGTTTTTTTTTTTACTTGGGTTTGTCAATGTCATTTACGACTTAAGTCTATTTATATGCCACATATGTAAAATTAGACATGCTGGCATCTGACATATATTTTACAAGCTGTGGGGCTATTCATATTTTTTGCATATCTGTGGGACAAAAAATGTCACCCCTATACCTGTGGGACTAGTTTTGAATTTTTCCATACCTACGTCGGATGCCAGCGTGTAAGAAAGTAAGCCACATGTACGCGACGTGGCGTCTCGGGCAAGAAATAGTAAATGCGGCAAAAACAAGTCATACTTTTGATTATTTTTAAAAAGCTGTGGGACTATTTATATTTTTTGCATTCCGTTGAGACCAAAATTGTCACCTCCTATACCTGTGGGACTAGTTTTGAATTTTGTTATCCTCTCTTGTTGCTAAATGTACATATTAAATAAGGGTAATAATTTACGTATCATTAACATTTCATTACAGAAAAATAAATGTATCTTTTTTGATATTTGAATTGATAATTTTTCATCTGAGTATTCCATGTTTAAGAACATTCTTAAACAATTAGAAGCAAAATTTACGGTACTCAATGCTCATTATTAACTTAACTAGCTTCACATTGTTTTGAATACTTTCAATGCTCATAACTAACTAAACTAGCTTAAAAACCTTACTCTCTGGACCCCCAAATTTCGCTCTAATCCTACTCCGGCTTCGCTCTAATTCTCCATCTCTCAGCCTTCCTCAGCGGCAGCGGACTCGTGTCTGTGGTCGTCTCCAATTGCTCGACCCATCCCGGATGCCTTTTCGTCTCCGGCGCTTCCGACGGCGGATGATTTGTCGCGATCTCCCACTTCCGACTCTGCCCTTTTAGGTGTGGGTTTGCGGGCTGGTCACCGAATCTGAGGTCTGTGGGGGTGGCGAAAGCGACGTGGATCTGTGGATGGGTCGGGGCCCCTGGTAGCTGCGATGTTTCATTACGGTGGTCAGTGCGAGGAACTGCCGTTTCACCTCTCCTTCGATAAGTTCGAATTTAGTTTCTTGGGTCGCCTCTTGAGGTAATTTCCGTCCTTTGGCTGTGTGGGTTGTCGATTAAGGTTGTTGGGACTCTTTAGGTAGGCTTCGGCTTGCCGTTGGTTTCGAGCCTGGTCGCCGTCGAGTTGTGGTTGTTGCGGGCGGGGTCATGTTGCTATGGGTGGGCGTTGCTCTAGGTGCTGTGGTTCGTCTTGGTTGGGGAGGTCGGTGTAGTGGAGCCGGGCTACCCCCACCCTTCTCCGTTCGACTAGTGGTGTTAGGCGGTGGGGGAGCGGTTCTTCTTGATCTCGACTAGTGGTGTTAGTTGGGCTTGGTAGGGCCTGGGGTGTTGGCTGACTCCGTTATGTTTCTCCGGTTGGTGTCGGGTTGTTTACGGAGATTAGCTAGTGTTGGGTTCGGCTTTTGTATAGGCCTGAGGGCAATTTCGTAAGTGGCTCCTGGGACTTGGCTTATTCTTCGTAAACGATTGTTCTCTGCTGGCTTGATCTGCTTGATTTGCTGTGGAAGGGCCCATTTTTCTCTTGTTTCTTATGTCAGTTGGAGTCTGTGTTAGGTTGTGTTTTGAGTCTGTGTTTTTGGTTTGGGCTTTTTGACCTCAGTGCTTGTTGTTCTCATTACTCCATTGGGGGTTGTGTCATTACTCCGTTGGGGGTCGTTTTATTACTCTGTTGGGGATCTTTGCGTGTTAGGGTCTTTGTTTTGTGTTATTTTGATTTGGTGGTGCTTTGGTCTCATAACTTTGCCTATGCCTTTAGTGCCTTGTTGTGTGTTCTAGGCCACCGAGTGGGAATGGTTCTCTGGTTTGTATTACGGCTAGTATGCCGTCAGGTTGTAAACTCTCTTTGGTTTGAGTAATATTATCGTGATCGTTTGGAAAAAAAAAACTAACTAAACCAGCTTAGCATAGTTTTGAATCCTTGCTACAATTGGTGTGGGTGTGGTTTTATTTTTAGTGTTTATAACTTAGAAAAGATAATGTAGAAATAGAAAATTACAAACACTCTTACTGGGTTGGTACGCAAAAAGATCTCAGACCGGCTGGAAACGGTTTGAACTCGAACTTTTCTCGTCGGTAGATCGTCTGCGGACCTGCAAAAACTTTCACACTGGAGGAGTTTTCTGGTAAAGAGTCTTTGATCCTTAAATGAACATTTGTAGAAGATGAAAAGTAGAAAATAATGTACGTAATGTAATAGTGAACGTAACCCTAAGATCGCACATCCCATTCCTATTTATAGGAGTGGGTTACCTGCTTCTAGAAGCCTGTCGGGATGTCGCGAGTCGGCTGCCCGAGTTACCCGTACTGCCCTAAGCGGTTACGAGGCATGGACCAATCACATAATATCACGTATCCTAGTTCATGTGCAACATTAATTACAATAAAATTTCTTCGTATCCCTTAGTCTTTCATATTAGATCGCTTAATAGTGCGACCAACTCGATGTATGTTGAGGTAGAACGTTGATTGTTCTGAATTCAGTGTTGTCCTTTATGGTCGAGTTTCCGACAAGCCATTCGTGAACCCTAGTTTGACCTATCACTGCCTTGGGGCCCCATCGGTGTCGTTCTCGGTCTAAAGACTCCTGGTTCTACGTTACCGAACAACCTTCCTGTTGTTCTGCTCGACCATCCGACTTCCTTGACTTGGGTTTATTCTATCAGGCTCTAGTATCTGGTAGTTTTAGTTTTGAATCCTTTACGACCCGTGTGGCTGTGTTTTTATTTGAGTGTTATGTAACTTTGAAATCAACATGACGGAGGTAATGGAGAAAAAGAAAAACAATGTCTGTGAAAAGTAAGTTGTCTTTGTATTTCAAATTTCAAAATCAAATAGTGTCATTTCATTTCTTTTAAAAGTTATTTCTATATTTAACATCAAATGAGAATTGTTATTAACAATATTTGTTAAATAAAGATAAGGTTTAAATAGGCAAAAAAAGTTTTTTGGTCCTTTAACTGAAGGCCGTTTTCAATTTGGTCCTGTAAATGGACCGTTTTTGGAAATAGTCCCCTAACTGAAAAAAAAAAAAAAAAAGATTTT